CTCTTGCGTGGAACACGGAGCATACTGTCAGCCGTGTGCAGCCGAAGTGCGCAGCAGCGTCGCTAATACGGCCACGCGGGAGCTTCCCGTCCGTCATCCGCTCCAACACGTAGCGAATGATGCCTTCATGGTCTAGAGGTGGAGGGTCAGGACCGAGGTCCATGCTTGCGCTTGGATGTTTCTATGGATGAATATGATAGTTTATCGGACCATACTTGAATTTTGTATGGGTATATACTGCCAATTACCTGCCAGCAAATATCACCAGCCAATCACAGTATATCTAAATCATGATTTAAACCAATCGGATGTAGTAGGTCTAGGTGAGTCATCCAAGCCACCCGATCGGACGTATCAAGTCCGATAAAACTCTAAAATATGTGTATGTTCATTCAGTTGTCAAGTAGTAGACGTATCACTTTCATATTTCTCTTTATCGGACCTTCGCGATGGGTTTGGAGGAATTGCAACCTGGCAACACATTGCGGGCTAAGGCAACTGCTGTCGCAGCATTTTCCAAGTTTTTAAAGGGTGAGGATGTTGAGGAGGAATACGTAAAGAAATGTATTGAGGAGGATGAGAGTGGCAAGAGCTTTGTGTGCGTCATGGATAAGTTTGGAATGTATATTGCGTTTAGTGAAGGAAAGAAGGGTAAATTGCTGGCACGAAACACTGCAATGCAATATTACCGCCAAGCCAAAATTTGGCTCCTAGAGCAATTTCCTCAGCACCGAGCTTCGATAGAATCGCGGCTGCTAAAAATGGGAAAAACTCAAGATAACTTTTGTCTGAAAAGAGATGGTGGTGGCTTCGTAGCAAAGGCTCCACCATGTACAAAGGCTGACTTGAAAAAAAATGGTTGTGTATTTGTATGTCAATGCATGTTCTGAGAGTGACTACCAAGATGCTGCTCTTCTGTGTCTGCTCTGGTACCTGTTCGGGCGAGCTTCGGACCTGGCGATGATCAAGAAGCGGAACATCTCTATAGATGCCGCCAGTGTCTTCTTCCTTCGCTTGGTCCGTGTGAAGACATCGGAAGAACAAGGTTTGTCTCTCTTCCCCGACGCCGACTTCGCAACGTGCCCCTTGCTCGCTGTTGCTCTCGCCCTCTCCGTCCAAGCAGCACCGTGCCCAGCTCTCATCGGGAACCTTCCCGACCAAGTGCAGCAAACGCCGACCACACTATCACCTGACGTGCCGCTCGTGAAACTCCTGAACGCACCACCGGCGACCTCTGGTCTTGCTACGCCTGCTCCTCCTCCTCCTCGTACTGCTGCGGCCCCAACAATCTACGCACATGTCAACCGTGTGCTTGATCGCGTCGCCCCTGCCGCCGGTGTGTCAGCTGCTCTCACGTCGCACTCATTCCGTCGTGGTGGGGCCCAACATGCCAACGGCTGCGAGAAGATGACCGCGCGCTGGATCTTTGATCGCGGATCTTGGAACCTAAGCACCACAAACAAAGGATTCAACTACATCTTCACCACAAGTAGAGAAGACCACATGATTGCCAAGGTATTGAGTGGATACAAACCAGAAGACGTTGTCCCTCTCCAAGACCTGTCCAGCTTTGACGCAGACACGCTTGACGCAATTGCCGAGTTCCAACGAGTCTTGTTCGCAGCTTGCTACCAACTTGAGACGGAAAGCTTCAACATCAACCGGAAGGTTCTGGATGTCCTAGCCGCTTGCGTCGTTAGGCACTATCCCGTCGTAAAGGGCTTGAATCCCGACAGTCCAGCGGTGCAACGACTCGAAACCTGTGTTACGCAGGCTGGACGTACGCTTCCGGACCTCTTAGCTTGGTCGACGCATCTTGCAGGAGCGCATCATTCCTGTACAGACAACATAGAAGCATCCACCTCACCATCCATGCCAATGGAACCAAGCCAAGAACAGAAGATCATCGAGCACCAGGCCTCTGTCATTAAACACCTTATCGAAAATTCCAAGCGCCAAGACGCCCGCATGGATCTGCTTGAGGCAAAGCTTAACGGTGATCCTGTAGCTGAAACGCGAAAAAGAAGCATTCAAGATGAAGACGCCACAGCTGTGAGCAAACCCAAGCAAAAACAGCGTAGAGGATCAGCAACCTACCTTCATGCGACTTGGTTTACCTGGTACGCGCAAGGGCCACGCTGGTACGTCGAAGCACCGAAGCAGCAGCGCTCGAAGGCCAAGCTGCTAGTCGCGTACATGAAGCTGTTCCTCGACGACGGCTTCGTTCTCAGCCAAACCTCTGCGGACTACCGCGACCGAGTTCTGGAACTGGGGAAGCGCGCCGAGAATGCCGTACTCACGTACTTGAAAGGCAAACACAGCATCAACTCTCGCGGATCGAGCGCGGTCCTCAAGCACCTCCAGCGGGTCCACTGCGCCGGCGCGCTAAATGCCAAGATCCAGCGCCACCGTCAGCTGCTCCAGACAGCTGCAATCCAAGACCCGTCTCCTGGCTACACGCAGGACGTTCTTGAGGAGGTTAGTAAGTAAAACAAACACTTATATGCGAATACATTCACCCTTCCTCACAGCATCAAGCTATGTCGACCTCAACACACGTATGCAATCACCTTTCTTGCTGATCTCTGCTGCTCACGAAACTTGATCTTCGCTACAAGGCCTCTAACCCAAGCATAAGCAATAACGATGGCCCGATTTGAACAGGCATCCTCAAGGCCGAAACCTTGCGCTCTCCCAGTTGAGCTACATCGTTGGAAGGGGGGGGGGGTCAGAGGCGACCTGGAGGCTTGGAAGCCCGTGAAGCCCGTACGGGAGATCAGCGTAGTTGCGATGAAAAAAGTAAGACTGACCGCCAACGTGGGCTGTCGGCGACGGATTGACTGAAAGTGAGAGGCTGCAAACCATTCGATACGTGTAGTCTAGCGCAATTACAAGTGGCACGTTCTTACTGGCAGATAATTAACCAATAAGCAGTAGTAGCTCTGATAACTGGCTGTCGTCAATCTTAATTTACCGGACAGATGCAAAATTATCCGGACGATCGTGGCGATTCTGCATCATTGTTAAATATGCTAGCTCATGCGCACGTGACTCTCATGCCAAAAATGTATAGAAAAACAAAATAGTGATTTTCTCAGCCCAGAGGGCGTTTCAGGCCATTTCCTGCCGTCTATAATACAGTCTGTTTGACCACTCTTTGGCCTTTAGCGTCATTTCACATCAGGCATGCCCTCCCCTAAACCTCGTACCTATCTGAGATAAACTGTGTACAACACATAGGTCCGATAAGTTGGTATGGGTGGAATTAGCGAACTGCGGACCGTGAGTTAGTTTCCCCGTGAAAAATAATTTTAACCAATCGCATTATTGTAACATCATGGTGTTTACCACACTAAGCTCAAATGTGAAATGTCTTGGGGGGGGGGTAGTACAGTAGTAAGTTTAAAATTGAGTTCATTTTTTCGGGATCGCAACACCAAAGTTTTTTCGGGATCAATGTAAACTAAAAATATCAAAAGTATTCTCCAGGTAACTGTTTGTATCAATCCGACTGATGGGTGTATTCCACAGGGGTTAATGGTAACTCCAAAATCGGTGAAGTTAATATTGTAAAAATATCACCTGTAGACCAGCTAATATAAAAAAGATTACCTAATATTTTCTTCTGAGACAATATGATATTATTCAATATCAACTTAATATTAGTTAATACGATATTATATTTTTCAAAGATTGCGTAGTGGGGCTAAATTAACCAATCATATGTCGTTAACGCTCGACTAGCTGAAGTATTACTAATCAATCGTGAGGGAGGGACAATTGTGAAAGTGGCGGCAAGGTTGGCGTCGTGTGTTGGCACTGCTGAGCGCATTAATCTAGCGCCACAGGCAGCAGGTTTATTAGACGCACGATGTGGACGAGGAGATCGGTAGAGAACAAAGGACAAATGTCTTGATTTCGCTCTATCAACGTTAAACAGCTGCAAGCGTTTGCAGTTTTCCATCTCGATCGTCTTTGTCTGTGTCACAGTGAAATACAAGAGCAAATACTAAAGCCTACTGCTTTTCTAGAACCTGATCGAAAAAGTTATTTGGCTCCACAGGGTAAGGTGGCAAGAAACGTACTTAAGTGGGAAAATATCATAAAATAGAATGTAGTATCTAATATTTTTCAGCTCTCCGAGTTAATATTAAAATATTATGTTACCTTTTGCAAAAATAAGCTACTATTAATATTTACTATCAAAAATATTACTATTACTATCAAAAATATCATATGATACATGTATTTGGTTACCATTAGCCCCTGGTATTCCATAGTGGAGCAGCGGAGGAAGGGAATTGTGTTTTCCACACAAGATTATCTGTGACCGGTATTACCGGCGTAGTACCGGTACGTGTACTCCGGCCTCCACTCCTCACTTCGCATTTGGAGAACGAACAAAATAGACCCGCCTCTCCTCGTCCCTTTTCGGATCAAGATGATGGTCATTGCATAAGCTCTCATTAATGTACCTGTTTGTTTGACCCCTAAGTGTGTGAAAACATTCATTTATCGCTTGGTAAGTGAGGCAATAAAACAATTTAACCTGGTTTGTGAAATGGGCGGATCGCTGTGGAGGGCCAGCCTACTCTGATACCGTGCGTGTTTGCTTTGGCTAAGGGCGCTCGTTTGTTGGTCTTAGTAAAATAAAGTCCAAATCTAGATTTGGAAATATTTATGCTTAACTGCTGCATGTATCACAAGCAGATTTACCGCAACGACTCGCCTTGGATAAAAGCGTATTGGAATTATTATTATTGCCACTTTTGAAAAGAGAAATGAAATTTTGATTAAACCGACGTATAAAACAAAATAAAAATAAGTTAATTGCATTAGTAGCCTTTTGGTTTTTCTAGTCTATTTTTGAAAGTTGGATATTAAAATCCTTATTTCCAAACGACTTTTTCAGCAGTATAATAAAAAAATATTTTCCATGGTGGTAAGAAACGAATTTTCAAGATACCTCGCTTAAGTCTATTAAACTCTCCTTCTCAGTTCTACATGGCAGCATAATCTCCAAATCTTCCGTAGGGGTAGTTTCTCTCGTCTCCGAGGTCCATGAACATGGCTTCTTCTTCCCGTCTCGAAGCTCTCCATGCACAAGCAACCATTCCGGCACCCAGCGCCAACGCCACAAGAGTCACACTAATAATCACCGCGACTGCCACCTCGGACAACTCACCTCCATTTCCGCCACTTGGAGCTATAGGAACCGCTTTCGGTCCTTCGTCGTTTTCATTCCCGTGTCCACCATCCGACTTTGGACCGAAATCGTCTGCAGGCTGGACTATCGTCGTGTTTTGAGTGCCATCCTCGGTAGCTGTCGCGTCTCCATCGTCTTTTACCGTCATGCCGAAGCTTCCAGACGAATCTGAGGCCAGTACGGCTGCGAGCAATAGTAATGTCACTGCTACAAGCAGGAGCCGCTGCATTTTGATCGAGTGCAAGCTCGCGGATCTGCGTGTCCGTCCTTTCAGATACATGTAGCCATATCAAAAAGACTGATGTAGCCATTTTATTATCGACCAATGATAGCGGAGTAAATACGGGGCTACATTTTGGGTTTTTGCATTTTCCATTTCTATCAACCATGGCAGCAAAATTCTCTATGGCTAATACCTCTGGGCTGTTCGACTCGGCAGCCCATGTGGAAGCCTCGGACCGCATGCAGGGTGCCATGGAAGAGCTAAAGGTGAAGAATGAGCGTAAAGAAAAGATACGTGCGCAGGAGCAGGAGCAACAGGAAAAGGAGGAGAAGCAACGTGCGAGTCGAGTCGAAGAGGCGCTCGCAGCGAAGACGGCACAGCAGCAGGAAAATGACTCTTATATTAGAGGGCAACAACAGGATGAGGATCTAGACTCGGATGACGAAGCCATGCTGGACGAACTGGACGAAGACCCCGAGCTAGAACGGTCTCTACTGTCGTCTAGATACGTGTAGTTAGTTGCCTATTTGTTGCTCATAGAAAGTTGCCATTTCTGCGATCTGTGATAGGATACGAGCCGCCAGATTGAAGCAATTGAAATACGAATACGAGGAGAAGCAGACGCTGATGGCGAAAGGCCATGGCGAGTACCGTGAGATCACCCAGGACGAGTTTCTTAAAGAAGTCACTGGCAGTCCTTTGGTGGCTGTACACTTCTACCATCGCGACTTTGAGCGCTGCAAGATCATGGACATGCATCTGGCCAAGCTGGCGCGACGTCACATTGAGTGCAAGTTCCTCAAACTGAACGCTGAGAAGGCCCCATTTTTTGTCGAAAAACTGGTGATTCGAGTCTTGCCCACAGTCGTGTGTTTCAAAAATGGCGTTGCACTCCCCGAACGAGTTATTGGATTCGATGGATTGACAGAGAACGATGAAGAAGCCGAACTCGCAAACTTTGGGAGCCGCGCCAACCACCACGCAGCGTCCAGCGACAACTTTCCCACCGCAGCCGTAAGTAATACGGTTTTTGTCATTTTATCCTGCACTTCTTCTTGTTTGACTCTTTTGTTGTTGCTTTGAATTTGAAGCTCGCCCGCAAGATGGTGGAGATCAGCGCTATCCGCGAGAAGGACGCAGTCGACGAAGAGTAACTACTGTAGCTTAGCTGGCTATATTCGTCCCCGGAATGGAATCACACGACAACGGCATCTTGCCAGTACCAGTATTAATACAAATAATTGGGCAACGCCGGGGAACATTACCTCAACCTTTGACCCCACCAAGAAGCCTGCAGACTTCTTGTCGGCCACCAGATCCTTCGAAACGAACTATGGACAACCCATGACGCGCCGCCATGACCTTTTCGCTTTGCTTGTTGAAGCGCGTCTTCAACGTGAAACAGCCAACATTCCCAAAATACCCTTCAGATTAAAAAAACACATTCCTCACCACCCATTGGTTAATCAATGACAAATATCGCCAAAAGTTGCTTTTTAACCTGATATTTAATCTCATTTATAGAAATAACGTCAGAGCGTCGCCAGGTATGAGCTGCTCGACGCGCGAGCCCACACTCGCTTCCTCCGTGCAGCAGCAACAGGTGCAATATGTTCCTAATTATGTGTTTAAAACGCTTGGCTAATTATCCTCCCTTCTAGATGAACGCTAGCCGTCGACGAATGTCCAAGCCGCCTTCAAGCAACATGGACGCCCGCTATAACGACCGGAACGCGCCATTGGCTGTGGCTGTGGCGGTTCCTTCGCAACAGAGCCCCTTTGAGAAGCTCAACACACTCAAGTTGCTCTTAGATTGCGGCCACTTAACCGCGGGCGAGTACCAGGAACGCAAGACGCAGATCATCAACGAGATGACAGGAACTTCCACCGAGAGGAAGAAACCCTCACCAAGTTCTAGGAGGCCAGGCTCAGCCAATGGAAGTCCGCCACCTCCGCCTCTCCAGCCTTTACTTAAGACCGTCGTACCTCATGGTCCGCCAGATTTCTCAAGAATTAGAAGAGAACGAGCGGATAAATTGAGCTTCGATGTGGATACATTGGAGTGGCATTCGACCCCCGTGAAGGTGAAATTGGATCTGGTGCCGTTTGCTACGGGACAATTGAGAAATGCCTATTATCTACAGGTACATATGAATGTTTTTTTTTATTTTACATCAAATAATTATGTTATATATTTTTTAGGAACTCGGTGCTGATGGTAGTTCGTCGAGGTTATTGGTGGCGAAAGTGAGTCTACGTTTTGCTGAGCCCAGTACGTATCTCAGCGACGTGGAGATGCAAGCGGTGTGTGCTCATTACGCAGCTCTATACAACGAGCATGAGCCTCCTCTAAAGGTGTGTTATGCGAGGTCTTGGTTACTGAAACTGAGGAATCGAGAACGCGGGACTCTGGTGTGTTCCGTGGAGGAGTTCCTGCCAGGAGCGTATGTGAAATATAGCAATAACAGCGGCTACGTGGGTCGAGAAACCAGCACGACTGAAGAACGGGAACGCAACACGCCACAGGCTTTTTCCCACTTTTCTTTCGTGGCTTCGGATTTCCGATTAATGATTGTGGACATCCAAGGAGTCGCAGATAGCTACACCGATCCTCAGATTCATTCCGCTGACGGGAGAGGCTTTGGGGTGGGGAATCTCGGTACCTTCGGGATGGAAAAGTTCCTGGAAAGTCATCGATGCAATGAAGTCTGTCGGTGGCTGGGACTGCGCAGTATTAACGAACAGTACAAAGCCGGCGGAACGGCTGCTCCCGGGTACGAGATGCCATTCGGTGGGGCCATTAAGAAGTCGACGAATAGGATTACAGAGGAACGCAATACATTCTCCACTTCAGTCACAGTGAGCGAAGCATTTGGCGACACTGCATCAGCAGATTGGACCGAGCAGGACTCGAAACGGGAGAGTGCGGAGGAGGACGAAGAAGATGAAGAAGACGAAGAGGACGCGGGCGAACACTCTGACTCGACTTCGTACGCTACGGACTCGTCACCGGCAATGTCGGCACTGCATCCACGACATCCGAGGGCGAAGAGGCAAAAGCGAGTTTCGCCTCGATCACCTGGCAAGCCAAAAAAACGCGAGGGTGGTCGACGGCTCCGGCACCCCACACATGTCAGCAAAAGCATCACAAGTAGTCCCGGGGCAGGAGGTGGAAGCCTCTGGTCAAATGTGGCTCGAAATTTATTCTGCGGGTGTGCGTGAACTAAGAGTTGTGTGGCTGATGAGTGATTTATGCATAGTTGTTCTGTCTTTAATGAGATTGAATGCTCTTGAAAAAAGCTGAAGCGGGAGACAATAAAAACTGAAATACCGCTAAAACCTGTAGCTTGCCCCTCTCCACATAGGCTAATATGGTGAGTATCATCATTGTGGTGTGTGGTGCAAGAGCTTACAGTGTATCTAAAAATGAATACTTCGAAGTATGAAGGTAATAAAATAGGTTGTTAATTCGGATTTAAACCCATATTTGTCCCCACCGTGCATACTTCTTTTTCCATATCTGAGGAAAAAATGTGTTTATTGTTCCTCGTAGTGAACGCGAGGAGTGGAAGAGTGGAAATATTCGCTTACTTCTTCAGATATGAAAAAAGAAGTATGCACGATAATAGGGGCAAATATACATGTATGTTAGAATCCGAATTGGCAGCCAATTCCTTACCTTCATCTTCATTTTTAGCTTTATGATTTTTGAATAGTAAGCATCTTAACCCCTTCGATGATACAGCTGCAATGATATTCTTGCTTTATGTACTTAAAGAAAAATATTTGAACTTAACAAATACGTAATTGTTACGATAAGAGCAATATCACACCACTCCTTCCAAGATACATTGTTGCTGGTGAAGGGGTTGTCAAATACATGGTATTTGGATAATGATCAGGACTGAGCTGGCCGCACTCTCAAGGACTTGTCAACTAACCAAGCAGTGGGTAGTTTTTGTGAAGCATGGGCTACAAATAATTTGTGACGAACCTAGAAATATCTTACTGAAATTGTTCATCATATTTGGTACTTAAAAACAATATTATTGCCATATTATTTTCACACCAGCCTTTACAGTCTTCAAACGCTGGAAAGCATTTCAAGGAAATGCATTCATCTTCAAACATAGCTGGATAGATAGATCGTTTGGCTATGTCTTCCATGGGATTCCAGCTCTCTCTTCTTTGCCGGTCGGATGGGCGTTTGCGGGCCCAAATGCTCTTTTCGAGATGGCTGAGGGGATGTTAACGCAAGTGGGTAGAGCATCTTCGCAACCAGTACCTGGAATAAAGACGATAGCTGACGGGATGCAGACGCACCTTATCTTGAGCTCCGCATCCAGTCACAGACTGGTGAATGCGGCGAGGCTGAAGGAAGTCCCGAGAGACCCCGCAAGATCCTGGGTCTCCATTGGAACTCTCGACGGTGACCCCCTGTTTATTCAAGGGCTCGGATGCTTCAAGCTGTACAAGGCTCAGGTGAGACGTGATTCATTTTCCGACACGAAGATGCTTAATATGTTGAGAAGATCACGAGATATTATTTTCAATTATTTTATGTTTGTTTTATTTAAAGTTTTGTTTTTAGTAAGAAAGCAAAATAATTAAAAATGTTTTTGATGTTTATCATTATAACAAATTTGTGGCTCGGTTGTGCGACTTGATTGGCTTACATTCCCAAAAATGTGCTCAAGGCATTGTCCATTATTGAAACTCGTGAAGATGCGAATGCGAATGCTACTCCTCGTGTTGCTGCCACTCGCCATGGCCAAAAGCGGGTTCGAGTCCACGATGGGCATCACCGAGACCAATCGCTCCGTCAATTTGGACCCGAGTGTGCAGCACATCCCGCTCAATCCGTCGCTGAGCCATCTTCGGCCTCCTCCTGCTCGCGTCTCCGACAACCCCAAGCTCTTCGTGGGTCTCTCAGTATTCCGTGACGGCTATCGCTGTGCTACAACGATCCTCACTGGCTTTAAACGAGCTACAAACCCTGCGAATATCGTCTTCGGGGTAGTCGACCAAGTGTATCCATCAGACCAAAAGTGTCTGGACGAGTTCTGCAAGATGGCTACACAAACATGGCCCGACCAGGGTCAGTGTCCGTACAAGGCTCAAATTCGAGTCGACGAGCGCTCTGCGTACGAGTCCAGAGGTCCGACACTAGCGAGACACCAGCAGCAGAATCTGATAAAAGACGAGGAGTTTTGTCTTCAGCTGGACGGCCACAGTATCTTTACCAACGGGTGGGACGAGAATTTGCTTAAGGAATGGAAGGGCATCGACAACGAGATGGCAGTTTTGACCACGTATATCCACCATATCCACAACTTTGTAGCTGCAAATGGAGATAACGTACCACCCAAAAAGTTGGATCTGCCACATCTGTGCACCACGATGAGAGGTAGCAACGGGTTGGTGCGCACAGTTGGTGCTAGTATGATCGGAGGGTCCAAGATGCCGCAGCTGCAGGCGCTGTGGGGGGCAGGCTTCTCGTACAATAAATGTCACGCCGAGAAGCGGGTGCGTGTGGACTCCCATACGTTGTGGATGTTCGACGGAGAGGAGTTTCTGCGTGCGTCCAGATTGTGGACACATGGGTACGATATGTACTCACCCAGTCGACTTGGAACGGTAGTGTATCACAACTACACGTCAGTGCCAGCCAGGTTTGAGGGGATCCCTGTGGACCAGAAACTCAAGGACAAAGAGGAAGAAATGGGGGTGAACCGCTTCAAAGTGCTGGTAGGTCAGCCCTTTGAGGGGCGAGTTAGTACGATGGAACTGCAGAAGTACGGATTTGGAAATGTTCGCTCCTTTAAGCAATACCTTGAGTTTTCCGGTGTGACGCTTGAAGAAGGAAAAAAGGACGCTGAGTCTTGTGAACAGCGACATTGGGTGCCATACACCAACTCGACAGAAGTCGAGGAGATTGTCGGCGGAGGTTGGAAACTCGACGCCTCCTCAACGCAATTTGGTGACAGACAAGAACTCATCGGTCGTCTACGACAACGAGTATCGAACAGCGTTTCTAAGGGTTCAGCCGGCTCTTCTGCATCTCTTCTGCTTCTGGTTGTTGTCGCGGTGCTTTTCGTCGTCCTCTCCAACGACCAAGTATCGCGCGGTATTCGTCGTCGTTGCCGTCCCAGGCCACAGCATACCAGTAAAGAGTAATCCATCATTTGCTGCCGCCTAAGCGCTCCAAGCGTAGCTTAATTCAAGCGATCCTGTCGTCATCAAAGTATACTCCAGTAACACAAAAAGCACGTCTTGATTTATTTGGAGCTGCAGCGCTCGAAGCCCACTCTCTGATCTATCACTAAGCGCTCACTACTCCTGCAACAATGCGATTCTGGGAGCTTCTCGTCCTCCTCACAACACTCTTCACCTTTGCCTTCGCCGGCTCAATTGACCTCAACAATGTCGCCCCAATTGCTCAGCCGTCTCCATCAACCGCCACCAAAAGAGCAGCAATCAGGTTCAAGCCTCGCCTTTCGATCGCCAGCGGGTGTGTATCTTTTCCTGCTGTAAATGCAGCTGGAGAGACGAGCAGTGGGCTTTAAGAAGGGTATGGATGGAGCAGTGGCTGTACCAATGCCCCGTTAGGCTCCCAAGTGTACGGTCGAGCTGCCTGGTACAATGGCAAGTACGCTATTCTGTACGCCTGGTACTTCCCCAAGGGATTCTGGAATGAGTACGCTACGAGACGCCACGATTGGGCCAGTGCTGTGGTGTGGATCGACAGCCCCGAGTTGGCATCGCCCTCGTTATTGGGCCTCTCCATCTCCACCGCAGATTGGAAGTACAAAACATACGCTCCAGCAACTTCTGGCATCACTGACGGTACGACGCCAAGACTCGCTCACGTCCTCAATGTTGAAAGAGGATATCCGTATTTGGCCACTACAGATACCACGGGAGATTTCCAAGACCTCATCATGTGGGACCAGCTTTCAACTGCAGCGAGGGCGGCATTGAATACTACAAACTTTGGATTTTGCAAAGGTACCCGTGAGCGATGCCAGCTTCGAGACGAAACTGAAAAACGCGTGGCCCTTCTAACTAATTTCAGTCTATGAGATGGGGACGTATAACAGGTAACCGAAAGGTTTTATGATACATTAAAGCGGAGCGTTTACTTCACTTGTAAGTCGGAGCTTTTCCTAAGTCTATCACCAGCAATGACGGGCGAGTCTAAAGGTGGCGGCGCTCTCCATGGTAGATCCTCCCAGGGAGACTCCATCGACGACTCGCTAATCGTCAGTGTACTTGTCAAGTCGTCTAAGCCTACATCCCTTTCACGGTTGCTACCGGTATCGAGACGAAAAGCACAGCTCCACGTGGATTCTGCATCGACGACGCACTCTGCATCCAATGGAGCCACACAATTTGTGCCGTTGTATGACGCCAGAGTCGAAGTACAGTCTGCAATAGCGAGATCACCCTTACACGGACATGCTGTTCCAGTCGGCAGATCTCCAACGCCACCGCAGATAGACCCTCGTTCTTGAGCGATAGCGAATGTAGCGTCAAGTTTTACGGAAACACTCCGCTGCGAATTGACGAACCCACTTGAGACGATGAAAACGGCGAGTCCTCTCTTGATCACCGACATTTTTGCTGTTCGAGGTCGATTCCAAAGTGGAAAGAGCTGCCGCTGACCACGAATGCACCCGTTTCCATGAAATCCATAGAAGATATGAGCGTTACCTCAACAGGAAGGGACAGACACTTGAAGCGTTTTGTCGACAGGCGGAACGAACGGTCACACTATTCTACAAGCTGCTTTAAAAAGTGATCTTGCATCGAAGTTTGAATGAAAAATTAATTGGGCTATTTTTTTCTTTTTAAACTAGGATGTAGCCACGACTCTTTTCGAGTACTAAATAAAGAATTTAGAGGGTCAAGCTGTATTTTACTCCTTCGCCAGCTCTGTTTCTCTTGAGCAAGGAAGAGGCGATGGATCTGGTGACGAATGTGGCTGCTTTGGATGAAAATGACTCGCCTACAGGTGACAATGCAGGTGGAGTGACGCATTCGATTCTTTCTAAAGCTGTATTGGACGCTATCAGCCACACGGACTCAAAGTTGGCATTCGACATGATGCTAGTAAACGAGCATCTTAAGACTCAAGATAGCGAGAACCGATCGCTGAAAGAAGAAGTGTCATTCTTGAAGCAGACGTTGGCCAAACAGACACGTGAACAGAGCGAGATGTTCCACTATTTCCACGGCAAAACGGACGAACATGTGGCTCGCATAGCTGAGCTTGAGAAGGCGTTGACCGAAGCTCAGGACGAGAAAGAGAAACTACTGGAAGCTTCACGAGAAATGCTAGACAATGAGCAGCGAGAGCGCGTATCAGAGCTCGGTAAAGCCCAACAGGAGGTGGCGGTTGCTAAAGAAGAGCTACGACAAGTGCACGCCTTCGCACAAGCCAAACGCGAACTGGAGGCGCATACTCGCGGTCTAGAGACAAAGCTGGATGTGCAACGTGCTGCGTTCCAGACCAAAATGCAGGATTTAGAACGTCATAATCTGCTGGAACAAGCTCGTAGCAAACAGGAGCTGCTTGGTCGGATGCAAGCTGCGAAAGCCGAGCTGATGCTGCGAACGAACGACCAAGTGGCGTCTACGACCCATCGGACGTTGCTAGAGAACGAGCATTTCACTCACGAGCTGGCGTTCCAGAGTCGAGAGACTGAGAAGCTTCTTGCGCGACTGGATGAGTCTCAACAGGAAGTGGCAAAGCTGCGAGCGCAGAATAACATTCTGGAAGAGAGCGAGCATTTGATGGCCAAGAAGAACCGCTACTACCAGAAAATTCTCGCAAAATTGCAACAGCCAAAGGCGTCAGACGACAGCACTGTCCAGTTACAAATTGGCAGCTTGTCAGCAATCAAGGAAGAGAGTAGTTTTGAGGAAGGGAAAGCGACAGCGAATAATGCACCACCGGAATACTCACGTGTATTCCCCACGGAAGAGGAGAAAGAGCAGAGACTTGAAATTGAGACTCAGCTGCAACGAGCAATGCAGTGGCTACGCGTGTTCCAACGCGAACGGCAGTTTTTATTGACACAACAGGACGAGGTTATTCAGTTCCTTTACCAGTCGCTGGATGAGGCTGCGGAAGCGCGAAGGCGAACAAGAAGTGGACGTTCTGAAACTCTGGTAGAGACACCGTCTATAACCGCGGATGTTGTAGATGTCCCTGAGGCGAGTAAACGTGTCGAAGAACTCATTCAACTCGCCCCTAGTACAACAACGATGGAGGCTTTGGGTCGTCGAATTCTCTCGTCTCGACCAGCTCTAGACGAGTTATCATCCAAGGATGCTCATGAAGTTCTGCTGTTCCTACTAGAGAAGCTTCGTCTCTATCAAGTTCGGATTGCTGCAGTCTACCCGAATGGTTCCGCTGCTTCTAGCCCTGCCAAACAAACGTTGGCGCGTCAATTAGGTGTAGAGCTGCCACCTATTACGAGTCCTACCAATTCTAGGCAACACCCCTCATCGATCAAGCAGAAACGACGTGTGTTTGCTCATGTGGCTGCAGCAGTGGATGCTGGCAACGCCGAGTGGTTGAGCTCTTCCAAGCCTAAAGCTCCAGTTTACGCACAGCCACAAGCCCCCCTGAGCCCTCAACTTCTCGCAATGGCGACCAATCAATTCAATTTTGTTACGTCAACACCAGCTCAAAAGAGCCCAACAAAAAGGCGGTACCAGCACAACTCGTTTGGAAAGAATCCGGTGTCTTTACAAGCTCCGAAGAATCAAACTCAAACTCACCCTTTGGTCCCATGGCGAAAGGACGAATCTCTGACGCCCTGGGTGGGAACCTCGTCGACCGCTTCTATTGTATTTTGGAAAGAACCAAACGACTCAAATGGCGACAAGAGCGTAATTTAATTATGCGCGATCCGAAGCAGTACCAGATCTGTTCTTTTTCATATAAAGTTAAAAGGTGGGGGCCCCCTTCCAAACTCTTTTCAACTCCTTTGCAATGATAGTTGAAAAGAACTTTAAAGTTTAGTTTAAATTTATTTTGTATTAGTAAACGACCGTTTTGTATCTAGGTATTAGAGCCTTCCAGTTTGTAAAGACGGATTGTATCTTTCAAATACTACTTCATGTCATGATGTACAGTAGCTTATGCCTTGTTTTGGCGGGTTGTTTGTCAGCTGCTTAGAAACAATGTCCGCTCTGCTTGCATGGTACAACATCAATGCAATGTACTGTATTATAGTTCTACGTAGGAACAAACTAAGCTCACTATTGCAGCGTTTTCCCTCCATCATATAGTCAAGTACGAGATCGATCTACAGGAAAACATTTTCATAAAAAATGCAGCTCGACCAGCGTATTTTCCCATTTATTTGATAACAGTCAATTTTGCGTGTGAAAGTATGCAATGCGAATCACTTTATTGTATAATTTACAAAGCAAATTGTCCTACTCTAACTGCCCACATTTCATTTTATTGTCCCCAATGTGGGCAATTCAAAATGGACAGCTCTTGTCAGTTTGAGCAAAATCCGTGCGTGCACACATAGTTTAAAACTTCGCCAACTCTGCACAAGTGCAGCATATACTCTCACGGCTTCTGCTGGCGAGCTGTCTTTCTCATCCATGTGTACGCTATTTGCATGCAATATGTCAGTGATATATTTGGTCCTAGTATTGTAACGCTGCAACGATGGTACATTATTCCAATCTGACGGAATAGTTGATGACAGTGATTAAACAAAACGCTCGTCACGGTGGCCATGTAACGTAGTGGCGCGCGCTCACAAGTATGCGAAAGACCATCCTACGTTTTACGTAGAAGAGCTGCAGAATGTTATGAGATGTTTCAGGTAAAAAATGCCTCGTTGAGTACAATTTGTAGAGCTTTACATTTTGACATGCTTTTGTTTTATAAACTAACATAAGCGGCGAGAGAGAGAGCGCCACACGAAGTGCGTGCATATAAGGTGAAGTTAGAGGCTATGTACTCCTACCCGGAGCAGCTATTCCTTATCGACGAGACTGCTAAATATGCAAAGCATGCTATGCTTGTTCAAAAAGGAGCACGAAAGCTGTGGTAAGACTGCCTTTAAATCGGCGCAAAGGGTTATCTATCCTAGCTGCGTTAGACCATAGAGAGTTTGTCGGATGGGACTATGCAGAGGGGGCCTACACTCGGGATTCCTTCCACAAAGCGTTTGTTATAAAAAATCCTGCCGCTGCTGCGGCGCGAGCGCGAACGCGAACGCGAACGCGATCGGCTGTGGCTCGACGAATGCCATCCGCGGCTTCCGCCACGGGTGCCACGTAGATGAAAAACTTAAATACAAACAGCTCGTGAATTGGGGCGTCGTTGGATGTCAATGATAGGATATCCACCTCCGTAATACATGCCCAACGCCGGCGGATAAGCTCTGCAAAATTGGTTTATGAGAGGGCTTTGGAGTCCTGCTGTCGGGCGTTCTGGGTACACTTTAGGAATACATTTTCGCCTTCTAACACGACCGGACTTTCTCCAAACTCAGATCCATTCAACAGCTCGAAAATTTTGGCTCTTGCAACGAGGTTTTTATCGCTAACGCTAAGCGTTAGCCTCCTTGTGATTCCCTTACGCGGTCCTTTCGATTACCCTTCCGTCCTGAAGAGGACAGTGCCACGAGGGGGTACATCTGTCGGTATTACGCCGGTCCTTAGCTTTTGGCATATGCCTCTACGGTACAAGCGTTTTGATAGAATACGGAGCGGACGAAGCACATGGGAGACCATACGATTGAAGGTGGTAGGCGCGTTCTTCAGACCCTGTGGTATCACGAACTACTCCCAGAGCATCCAGCTCGGTGCACTTTCGGCGGTGAGAGGTACATCACATTCTGTCATCAGGATCAGATAGAATCCATCGGTCAGGTCGATGGCGCTGCAGATAACGCTGCCAGCTATGGCCTCCAGTATCATATCCTTCTTAGGGATCAAAGTATGCGCGGGGATGGTGGTATCATTCAATCTGTTTAATGCGTGAACAATGCGCCATCCGCCTGTAGATTTCTTCACGCAGAATGCTGGACTAGAATGGGGCGAGGTACTCACGCACGTGACCCGCCTTCCGGTGGCCCTCAAAGAAGTCGTCTATCACTTGCACTTGATCACGGGGAAGTGACCATTGTCTGGTGACCCAGTTCGTCGTACCTGGTGCAAAATCGATCTCGTGCTGAACCCCACGATCCGCCGACAGCTTGCCGGGGATCTCATCGAGGAAGACGTCGGCGTACTCACAGGCGGTTTCGTATACGGTATTTTCTGACTCCCGCAGCCTCCCAGGACTGCGTTTCGAATCGTTCCTAGCGAGCCATCTTAGGTTCGGCATCTTGCGGACTTGAGCGCTCACTATCCGTGGCGACTGCGTTTACTGACTCATCCGCCGAGACTGCCTTGGTGACCAAGTACACTTGCTCAATTTCTCACGTTTTGAGATCCCGAAGGAAGTTCTTCCTGGACAAGCCTGGAAGGCGTGTGATCGCCGCCGCTTCGCGCGCCGTACTCGCGACTTCGATATTGTGCGAACGACTTGGACCTCTTTTAACGTACCCGAGCGCGCAGAACGAGATCATCAGTGGGCTATCGCTGGACGTGGAGTCTCGACGAGGCTTCACGCGTCGTCGCCTCGACTTTTTCTTAGTCTTCCTCGAGCTCACGCTCGATACTGACGCACTGCTACTCGACGATCCATCACCCTTCGCACGGGAGGCCGTACTCAACCGGGCCGGGAACAGGCGGTAGCCTCTGCTCAACCGCAGCATCGTTTGACGGGATCACAATCTGCCCGACCGCCGAATCGTTTGGAGGGAACCTCTGCTCTACCGCCGTCTCGATTTGTGGGAGCCCCTGCTCGAACACCGTCTCGTGTTGTAGGAGCCCCTGCTCGACCACTGTCTCGTATTGTGGGAGCCCCTGCTCGACCACCGTTTCATGTTGTTAGGGCCCCTGCTTGACCCCATCTTGTATTAGGGAAGCCTCTGCTTAGCCACTTTATCATCTTTTGAGCGACATTGCGAGGGCGCATCGTCCAACATCGTAGCAGAAGCCAAGCAGAGAGGACCATCGCTCGCTCTTTGCACTGCCTCCGTCATTTCGGTTTTGTCCACGACTGTGACGTGGGGCCAGTTTGTTGGCGCCACCAAGAGGTGCGTGAAGACTTCACTCACGTTGAATTCACGTCGACGCTTGACAGGTTAGGCCAGCCAGTCAATCTCTGGCTGATATCGCGCAAGCCATGGGATGCCCAGGATGCAGTCAGATGCATAATTCATCTCGACCACCTAGAAGGCGTCCTTGCTCCGGAAGCCGTCGAACGTGTACGTCACGCCGTGGAACGCGGTGAGTCTTATCATCTGCATCTGCGAGTTTGACTTGAATATCGCCCGGACCATTCCGGACGCGGACGTTCTTGGGTAGTACCGACAAACACGACGCGCAAAAGACGTTGTTGGTCGCTCCTGGGGCAAGGAGCGCGCGCAGTGGTCGCCGGGAAGTGCGATGATCAGTCTCGAGTCGCCCGGTGTAGTGGTGGCATTGGTGTGTGGTTGGAGCACGGGGGGGGGTCTCGAAGGTTGGGCTGCCACCGGAGGGCCCGGTCCTTTACTAAAATCGGTAGGGCACCCCGCACCTACTGGTCCTGGTCAGGTTTTGAATGAGCGACCGAGGAATGTTCCGCATCAGCGTGAGCGACGACGGGAGCTGGCGCTCCACCGCGCGGTGACCTTTCTTCCCACAGCGAAAACAAATGAGGGAACGATTGCTTCACCCACCGACACCGCGGTAGGACCCGCGACGTCGATCTCCATGGGCTCGGAGGTGGACTCTCGGGCCTCCACAGGTAAGGCTGCGGCGTACGACGCAGCGACCATGTAATTCTCGCGTATCGCGAGTGCAAATGCCTCCTCGAGAGAGAAGGGTTCAGCTCTGGTAAGACAATAACTAGTTATACCCTCGCGCATGCCGAACACAAATACGTCGACTTGCGAGGCTATATCGATTGGCTTGGTAGTGATGCATGAGGTTAGATGTCGCGTTTTCTGAACGTGATCACGTATGGACTTCTTCCCTTGCTGAAGGGCGAAGCGCTCTGCACGAACGCGAGACTCATCTTGCGGATACTCGAACGCGAGGCGCAAGTCGCTCTGAGCGTTTCCAGAGTGGGGAAAGCCTCGGGGTCGCCAACCAGCTTGCCAAGGGCCCATTCGTTGGCCTTACCGGCTAATCGGGAGAGGAGGAAGTTCACCTTGGCTGATGATGACTCGATGAGGCGCGAGGCGATAGCGATGTCGATCACGCGGGCCATCGGCTTAGCGAGCAGGCGCCAAAAAACGTAGACGTCTCCAATTTGACGACGTCGTTCTGGGATGGAATCGAGGAAATTGACACCCGCCGATTCGCATCGGCGAGCTCGCGTTCCATGAACGCTTGTGCTGCAATACGTTGCAGCACAAGCGTTAAGCTCAGCAGCAATGCGACAACGACATCCCCAGACACCGTCACGAGGCGGTGAAGAGGACCCCGCTCCACGCGAGTGAGATAGGGGAATCCAGCATGCTCCAGGATCCCCCGGAGATCTGGAGCTGGCTCATCGTTATCTTG